TTTGCTTCTTCTCATTGAGAAGTATATTCAAATGAAACAACGAGAAAAAAAACATATCAGGTTCTACCCAGATTTGAACTGGGGTCGCTGGATTCAAAGTCCAAAGTGCTAACCGCTACACCATAGAACCCTTGTTGGCCTGATTTGGTCAACATCATTTCATGAGTTACTCTACTCAAGTTTACCTTATTTATATTTCCTTGTACACGGACAGTTGTGGAATATTTTTGTAAGACCATGGTTAACAGTTGTTCGTTTTCTATATGTTTTGTCAAAACGATTCGTAATAAATCAACCTAAATCAGAATAAAATTATACATTTAGAAAATGACCGTACACAAAAACAAAACATTTTGTTTTCAACTAACTAGTTGTTCATATTTATAATCAAGTTCTTTGCCTTGATTACCAATTAATAAACAACATTCGATTACTGCATTATTTGATTCGCCAGTTTCATTACACAATGTGTCAATTATAGCCTAACAGGAAATCATTTAGTATAAATAAAAGAGAAATAATTGCGAACTTTAATAAATGATGCTTTGATATTGACTTGTTCTTTCGATAAATTTTTCAAACAGTAGATCAATTGATGCCAAATACGATGAACAATTTCATTTGAATCTAAACCTGATCTAAATATACGAATAAAATGTATATTTCATCAATATCGAGTTTTTTCATTCATTTTAACCTTATTATTCGAGATAACTCAACAAACGCTTTCCTGTCAAGCAAAAATTCAAACGATACACTTTTGCTTGTTCGTTCATTTCACAAAGAACTTATCCAAAATCCAATTTTTGTTTTGTTTACATCTCCAACAGAAGTTTAACTAATATTAAAACACATATTCTCTTTCTTGATTTTGAATATTAAGAGTACTTGTACTATAGCACAAAACATCAAGAAATTTGACCAAAGCTTACATTGTCTTGAATGTAATAAGAACCGTAGTTCTCTAATTATTTGTTGTCTCAATCAATTAAAAACGAATATTTATCTGTCGTATCAATGATTTTAAATGAACGAACATCTTGATATATTTATTTTCGGCTATGGTCCAATTGCGACCGGAAATTAAGCCAATTAAGAAAAAAGTGGTCGCAATTTGGAATCGAATAAAAAGTGAGATCAACGCAAAATTCTTCATTCCAAATTGCGATCGTTTTCTTCTTAATTGGCCTAATTTTCGGTCGCAATTTGGAAACTACGCTATTTTCAATTATTTTCTTTACTATTTTTGTGTTTATATTTTCTTCATACGATGCCAATTGCAGGAGCGAACAACTTCTCTAACGACGAAAAAATAATTTGTTTATACTCTTTAAAGACTCAGTCAGATCAAGTATTATTAAAGAATTTTTCTTTGTTGTTATACTCACACGCGATACATAAGGCGATTATTTCACTTCACGAAAGCAATATAATAAATCTATAACATAGTTTTTCTATTTAAACAATCGACAGAAGTTTCTCAGGTTTATCAATTGAAACCTGTTGTATCGTTTTGTTTATAGTTTTAGATATTCATGCATTCAACTCGGGACAACACTAATCGATGTAGTGTTCATACAATTGTCGCACGTGATTTCGAACGGATGAAACTGTTTAAAAAACGAGAAGTTCAACAAGAACAAGAACTGAAGACTCTTGAACGCCGATTGTATGCACATAAAAAATGGACTAGCCGTGCTAATCACAAATTTCTTAGCGAAGTCGCATCAAGTACTCATCCAGAACGTCCGCCAATTACTCTGGAAGAATTTATGGAACGTGAAAGAATTAAACAAGATAAAATTATAAACTCTAAAAAAGTTGCTAATGAAAAAATTCGCCAAAATTGAATGACTCGTCATTGTAATCGTTTAATTCAACAAAATAAATAAATTCCTACTTTTTTCGATTGATAACAAGACCTGATAACCAATCAAATATCATTTGTTTCGAATCCGTTGTCCAATATTGTTCCGTTAAATCTAATCGTTTATCAATTGATAATTGACGATCAGTTAATTGAGTATATAGAGCTAAAATATCAAGATTATTTTGTATTTGAAATTGAACTAATTAAGAAACTTACTTTCACCTAATTTCATTCTTGTCTCTCGTTTCTTATCAAATAACAAAACAATTATCTAGAAAGTACACCGATACATTTAGCAATAATATTTTTTGTTAAATTATAAATTGTAAAAGTACCGAGTGAACTAATATAACGAGTTCATCAGTCTTATATTTTCAGTAAGGAAAACTTAATCATCGATTTCTTCACTGGTTTTATTGTAAACATAAGGTTAGATAGTAAATACTCATAATGAGGCAATCACTCGGATTCCTTACAAGATGGGAGCATTAGCAATTTTGTCGAAATATTACTTGTTCGTTGCGATGTTCTTAAGCAATTAGGAAACTAACAAATGCACATTCCTCATAATTAATAAAGAGGAATTGCAGTAGCTCTCTAATCGATCATTTTCTTGTCTGATTAGTTCATTGCAAAAAAAAGCAATCACAATTACATTGAATGTATCAACAGATAACAAAGAGAGTTGACTAAAGCATTTTTTAGTCTATTTTTTTAATAACATCTTAGCCACGAGGACCTTCATGTTGCTATGATGAGATCAAGTATTTATCTTCGTATGATATCTTTTTGGCAAAGATTTTATTTCAAAGTTTTCATGTTATCGCGTCTTGTTAAAAGCAATAATCGTCTAACAATCCTGTTTAGTCTGACAGTTAAATTCACTTATTGAAGTCCTTTTCAGATATAATAAACTGTCCTGTCGCTAAGTTCACACTAAGAGATAGATGGAGTTCGTTTCTTTTTTGCTAATAATTTCATATTTCTATATCTAAAACCAATCTTGTACTATTCTTGAACCTCTGAAAATTTTCTCACACGACCGTAGAATATCTGAAAAAGACTTCAATTAGGATGCTTTCGTATATGAACAAGGTCCAGTAGTAAATGATCTTCTAATCAATCAATTTAATTTCAAAAACTATTGTTTAGTTTTTTTGAAAGCGGCGTTAATGTGTTAATTCTGATTAACATTCTTCTTATAATATATATTGGACTAAATCTGGTGAGAAGTCCATTGAATTTGTTGACACTGATCAGATAAATGTTGAATTTTGAAATCTTTTCAATTGCAGGATGAAATGAATGTGAACTGATAGTGTTTTATTTTTGAGAGAATTAAGGAAAACACAGGATTATTTGTTCATTAACATTTAAATTATTTGATAATAAATTTATTGATCTAAAGATATTTCAAATAACATGCCTATAGAAATGACGATAGTCTAAAACAGATATTTCTAAAAATAAATAGATTTCTATCTAATAAATATGCACCCTATTAAGAAATACTATAATCTTGGAATATTTCCTAATGAAAAATCATCAATATGATCTTCAAATTAGAGAGGATTCATGTTTTTTCTTTATTATATTAGTTTTTCTCTTTTTGAAATTCTTGTATCAAGTAGAGATTGGATATTGAAAACGATCGAATCAAATAGACGACTTTTATATACGAATTCAATACAGATGTCGCCTAACTACTGGGCCAGGAGCAATCGTATCGAGGAAATAAAATATTACATGCAATTATGAACTGAAGCACTTATCAAATTAAATATATAGATTTCAAAGATCACGTTTTTGATTCTATCAATATTTTATGAACATCCATATACAAAATCGAATTTGACTAACAGCTTGTTCATATGATTCGAAGGCAAAAATAAAATTCAACTAGATAAGCCCTATTTTGGGATGTCTACCACAATACGTTCATTAAAAGTTCTGTACGCTCTCTCTCTTAAGAATCGAATTTTAGGTAAATGTTCTTGATTATCTAGTCAAGTAGATAGTTACATTTCATTAACAAGCAGTTAACGTAGCGTAATCGAAATTTTATTTTTGAGTAAAGTTTTATATTCAATTTTCTATTCGCTTGATAAGTCAAAATAGTAATATTTATTCTCAGGCTCAAATATAGATCGTTTTTCATATAGAATGTATTCAAGAAAATGAAAATTTTATTTTATTTGAATGATTGATCTTCGATACTTATAAAATTCATTCGTTTTCCATAGTTTAAAATGTTACTTCGTTTCGATAAAATTCGCTAATCTACTCATGAAGGTCTAAAAATACTTTCATGTGAAAGAATATTTTTATAATTCTTGTGCAATTGTAAAAATGCATACAAAAAATATGTTGAGCTCTTTGAATCATGCTATGAAACTGATCAGTCATGTTTAAAAAAGTTCAAAACGGCATTAGATATTGAACTATCAACGTCGCTCGCTAAAATAGATGATATATCTCCTAGAAAAAAAGGAATCAATAAGTATGTCTCAAAGGCCTAAATGAACAATGTATTTATTATATTCCAACTCTTGAATTGTTAGTATCGTCGATAATGTCATAGATTTTCATTACTCGATTGGTTTACATTAACGTTTGATTTAAATGAATTTCATTTGTACTTATGTGAGACTCAAATATTGATGAAATATTGCAGCACGATGTATTTTTCAAATTATCGACATTGTTTGTCGTATATTGCGATATTTTGATTATTAGCAGAATGTAGTGAAAAAATGCACTACAAAAGATAATATCCTTATCTTTTTCGATAAAAGTCTTCTATCGCAAGACAGAATCACTTATTTTCACTGATACTTCAGTTTTCTTGTGTTTGATAAAATCTTATTGTGTCTTAATAGTACTCATATGATATAGTAAATTAACGTAAATGCATCCAAACATGGTCTTTATCATGCGAAAAAAAAGAGCTCTGTTAAAAATGTAACAAAGCAGCTAGAATACTCTATTGTTATCGTTATATAGCTGAAAATCGACAATAACTTAATAAAGAAATGGATAATCTCACTACGAAACATGATGAATTTCAATAAGCCATTACTGAGCAAGAATCACAACCAAATAGCCATCCACTGATACAAAATATAAGCCAGTGGGAACAGGAGTCAATTAATAAAATTCGACAAGCAGCTGATAATGCTTCAAAGGAATGATTAACTATCCTGTCTACACATAAAACTAAAGTGAAAACAGATTTAACGTATCTTATTGCGGAATTGAACAAAGCGCGTCATAAAGATGATTAATATTGAAGCAGATTTGAAGGAGTGGACAGAAAAATCAAATAATTTACAAAAAGATTTGACTGCAGCTTACGTCATCGATTTTAGTGACAACGAAAATGAAACTGTATTGGTTTCAAATATTTTTATAAATGAAGTTTTAACTGATGCTCTTGGGCGAACATGATAAAATCAAAATTTTCGACAATGGTAGTTTGACTGCACATGGCCAAAAGCCATCAGCATACATTAGTACGTGGTAAAAATCAATATTCAAGTGGGCAATACATCGATTGCGTTTTGAAATTGATCAATGCAATTATGCCGAAGACTTGACTTGTGGCATTTTATCAAAAGATACACCTTTAGAGTCGATTCAACGTTTCTTTATGAATAATAATGAAACCAGTCAATACAGCTGACCTGATAATAGAACTTCAACCAATTCATATCAAAATGAATGTTTTAATTCGATTCCTATCAATAACCACTGGCAAGAAAATTATATTCTTGAGTTACTCATTGATTATGACCAGAAAATTATATATTTAAGCAATGAACGAACACAACAAACAGTTTCGACAGCAAAGAAGAGGACAATTGGCTGCTGCATTAATGATTGATTGACGACTACGATTCATTAGTTTTCTTTTTACTTCGTTTTTATTGTGAAATAAACTTTGAGAGAAAATTTAAATATTTAAATTCACGCAGTATATTGTCATGATTTCGAAAGACAAGAACTTTTTAGATATGTTCAAATTTCCGAAAACGGAAATTACGGAAATAATCGAATTTTTTGTAATAACAGAGATTTCGGAGATATCAGATGCAAAATTTCTGAATTCTCCGTAATTTACGTTTTTTTGGAAATCTGAACACTGCTGATATATGTACACAGAGAAATATTTTTATTCATTGTATATTGTGAGACAGATCGACGAAGAAGAGAAAGAAAGAAAGAAAGGATTAAACTACGCATTGTTATTATTGAAAATGACAGCATTGTCTTTCAAGGGTAAACTAGTAATAGCTGCTTCGTATGCTTCATCGAGATCAGCATGGAACAATGGTCGATTGATATCAAGAACGGGGACAAGTACAACGTCGTTACCATTTTCACCACCATCGATATGCTCATGTATATTTGCTACAGAAAAAACTGTGTGTCCTTCATGAGATGAACCAAATCCAACTGATACAAGTGCACGTTTCAACCAAGGATTCGATAAACCTACAAAATGCCAATTGACTTTTTTATCGGCGTAACGATCTAATTGTCGACGAACATCAAGAAGATTTTGTAAGCCAGTTATATCTAAATGAGCAACACCAGTGAAGTCTAATATTAAGGCATGCAAACACGGGCGTGAATCATCTTTCTGCTGATCTCTTTCTGGATGTCGACTTGTCTTTAAATTCCATGGTTGTTCACCGAGCGAACCATACGGATTGATTTTGCCAGGTTTAGTTTCACGAAAAATTTGTTCAACTAAACGTTCTATGTAATGATTGGCATTCGGATAGAGAAAACTTTCATTCAATCGATAGATGAAGATGCCATTGCCAGGCGATATAGGAATAATTGTCGGATTTGATCCATCGGAATGATCGAGTGGTACGTAGATATTTCGAGTTGTTAAATGTACATAATCATCAGCAAATAATTTAACTTGTTGAACTATTACTCTGCCAACAAATTGACCACGAGCCTTAGCAATACGAAAGAGTAGAAGAACGCCAGATGAAATAACCGTAACATAGATACCATATTCAATGTTAGAAAATATTGTTACAAGTACTCCAGCCCAAAAGATGAAAAATTCAATTGGGTTTACTTGCCAAAAATTTTTCAATGTTGTGGGTCCTGCTATCAGATCGCCGACAGCATGAATGATGACTGCTGCTAAACTAGCCTGTGAAATCCAATGGAAAAGCGCTGGTAATGCGTAAATACCTAAAATAATCACTACACCGCTGACTACACCAGCCAAAGGTGTTCGTACACCTGCTTTAGATTTAATGGCTGTTCTTGAAAATGAACCAGTTGCTGGGTAAGCACCAAAAAAGGGTCCAAATATATTTGTTATACCAATGGCAATCATCTCTTGGTTAGGATCAATAGCATAATTATTGATTCGACCAAATGATTTCGCAATAGCAACATGTTCAATGAGAAGAACAATTACAGTCGATGGTAGATAAGATGCGAAAGCACTCAATAAAGTTGAATCAATGTAGGGTACACCCATATTTTGAAATCCACGTGGTACTGTGCCTAGGATAGCAGTTCGTGGATGATCAGGATCATGACGATTGATTAGCCACGAAATTAAAATATACAGAAGGATAATAAATACGGCACGAAGCGTGTTGAAAAAGAAAAACAATTTTTCTCTTTTCGGAAAACGTTTACCTGCACGGGTACATATAAAACGAATCAAATACAGTAGAAAGAGTGATGTTAGACCGAGTGCAGCATTTAAATTACAATGTGAAATTTGTTTCCAAAAATTGCCAAAAACTAAATAAGTTGGCGCACGTGTATCCAAATATTTATTGTTACCCATAAGCGTTGGTATTTGTCCCATAGCAATATTCAATGCTGAGCCAGTCATAAAAGCAGCTAACGCTGGTAGAGGAATGAATTCAACAATAAATCCAAGACGAAACACACCAAGAGCAAAAACAATACAACCAGAAATGAGAGATAAAGCTGATGCAATGACATGTAATTCGTACCCTGGATAGTCGTTGTGTACAGCTTCGATCACTGAGCCAGTTAATGCTGACAAGACTGCCACAGGTCCTATACTAATATCCTGCAAAAGAAACAAAATGTTTATGACATATGAAAAATGAATAAAATCCACCCATGTATTGTTGGTTCAATTTACAAGTGTTGTAACTCAAATGAAAAAATGAAAAAATTTCTAATATTAATTTCATGTTGCCAGTTTTTCTAATTTTTTGGACATTGTATCGTGTTCCCTTTTTGTGTACTCAAAAAAGTGAGTACACTCTAGAATCGGCCAGTGTACCCGTCCGGCCGTCCGTTTACACGATAACTCTCGAAAGGAGAGTTAGATCATGATGAAATTTTCTACACAGTTCAGTCTCATCAATGTCTCAGTCGAGTTCGAAGATGAGAAGGATCCGCCAAGAAATGGTTGAGTTATCGAAAAAATTGTCATTATTGACCAGGCCATCCCTGAGGAGGAGTACAGGGAATTTTTTTCAAAAAATAAATCTTTCTCAAAATTATTCACAACATATATAAATCGACTCAGTTTTTAGCGCTGATTCCGAATCTGATATTAGTTTTGAGCTAAACCGTAGCTTTCTGATGAAACATCGCCTGAAAAACGTCTCAAAATGCACAAAAACTGCATTCAGAAATCAAATTGCCTAGTTTCTCATGATAATTTTGGTGTTCAGACATTCTAGAATGACTTATACATCCCATGCACATTTTGCAGTACACATAACTTTCGGATGAAATCTGAAGTTTCCACATTNCTCTAATATTTTGACTGTAACGTTTTTTTTTCTTTCAATCCTCAGACCTGATTTTCTCCTTAACTTTTTAGGGAAATAGCTTTGTAGAGTATTTCACAACGCATCGGTTCGGAAGGTAATTAGATCAATGGGTCTCGTCTTCATTTGCACTCATGCTAAAATTCCACGGCATGCAACCAATCGATCACATCAAAGAATATACTAATGAATAATTTTATTATTTGAATGATTATTTAAATAATTAAAATAGAATCTCTTATAGAGCGTGCTTATCCACAGCGCGCAACTACCCTTCATAA